ACATTTTAAACAGACACGATTGAACCAAAATACTCATCTTTGAATAAAAACATCCCTAACCTGGTGGAGTGGGGAATGGAATCAAAAAGTGGGGGGAAGGAAATGCACTGGACTTTGGTGATGGCATATGGGTGATTTGGTGATAGGAAGCCCAAGGGGATTACAACTGAGATGGAAAAATACACGAAATGATGTAAAAATAGACTATTATATTATTTAAAAAAAAAGCATCCCCAACCTTCTTATAATTATTTTTTGTTGCAGTCCTGTTGCATAGTGTCTAATGCACAAATTGATGTATCATTTCAGTCCAACTAATATACCACCTCCTAATATTTTCTGAGTGTTCTGGTGAGTTCATGAGGGTGAACCATATACAGTTTGAGAGTAAGTATTACTTTTTATAAATATAGTCTATCTCCCATAGAGACCATCCATGAATTGTATTGCTTAATTTGAACCCAGAACATACACACTCAACTGATTTTCCAGAAGGATTTAACCAATTTGTAGAAGATTCATATCTGAGACTTTGAGACCGAATCAATCGATTTCCCAACAAGAAACAAATGAATAATATAGTCTGTCCTAATATGAGTGAATTAATATTCACTCAAATGAATCACTGTGTTCTCATTTGGGAACTAAATGTATACAAGTATTTCTTTTCTTTTTCTTTCCCTTGTTTTTGTGTCAGAAATACTGCTCCAGGGTCTGCATACTCACAAATCATTGTGAAAATAAACAGCAAGTTCTGTGGAAGAAATCTTTTTTCAGTTAATTCTATTTCATAATTGTGTTGATACTAAATTTCAAGGTAAGCCCATGAAATTGCTACAACGGAAATTTTAGGGGCTATTTGTGACAATCATTTATACCTACAATACATGCTCTTAATCAAACAAAAATCAAGAAATAAATTTGGAATGATGGGTGTCAAATTTTAATAAAGATTTTGAACTGTACCTGTAAGAGATTTGGAAAGTCACAGAAAAATGTTCAGTATCAGTTCTAATATAGAAAGTTCAGAGTCCAAACTAAGAATATGAGGAATAGTAATGACACTCAATTTATCTTGATAGACTGACTTCACATTAATTAAATACTATTATTATATCTACCAAAATTCTATTTGCTAATTTAGGACGCAGCGCTGCAAGCTGGCCGCCACCACTTCAGTGTAAATTCGCTCTCCAATCCCAGAGGTGATCCACATGGCGCGGCAGACCTCTTCTGACCCACCCGCTGCTCCCCTCAGCA